CCACCACGGCGGGACGGAGGGACGGGCTGGTCCCACCATGGAGGGGCAGCCGGGGCGGCCGGAGGGGACCAAGCGGGGTCCGGATGGGGAAGGGGATGAGGATGGACCCCAGTTCTACCCCCACCCCACTGGCAGCAGCCTCCTGGAGACACCCATGGCCTCTGGTGTGGAGATTGGTGAGTCACTGGGTGACACATGGGGTTGGGGCTGTCACCCATGGGTGCCCCGTGGTGGTGGGACCTGTCCCCATCAACCACGAGTGCTCCAGGGTGGTGGGACCTAACTCCATCACCTGTGGGTGCATCACCCATAGGTGCTCAATGGTGGTGGGACCTGGCTCCATCACCCATGGGTGCCAGATGGTGGTGGGATCTGTCCCCATCCATCACCCATGGGTGCTTCATGGTGGTGGGACCTTGTCCATCATCCATGGGTGCTCTGTGGTGGTGGGATCTGGGTGCATCACCCATGGGTGCTTCATGGTGGTGGGACCTTGCCCATCATCCATGGGTGCTCCGTGGTGGTGGGACCTGTCACCATCATCCATGGGTGCTTCATGGTGGTGGGACTTTGCCCATCATCCATGGGTGCCAGATGGTGGTGGGACCTGTCCCCATCCATCCATCCATCACCCATGGGTTCTTCATGGTGGTGGGACCTTGCCCATCATCCATGGGTGCTCCATGGTGGTGGGACCTTGCCCATCGTGGACATGGCTGAGGGCTGCCTGCCTGTCCCTGTCCCCAAACCCCCCGTCCCCCTGTCCCCGCAGAGCACCTCACCCAGAACGTCCTCAAGTCGTACCGCGAGACCTGCCAGCTCCGCGCCGAGGACCTGCAGCTCCGGCGCTGGGACACCTTCTCCCGCGAGGAGGTCTGCGCCTACCAGAAGAAGGTGAGGCCACCGGGCTGGGGACAGGGGAGGGGACACGGCGGTCCCCAGGGCACCCAGAGGATGCCCAGGGCTGGGTGCCCCGGGGCTCTGGCGTGGTGTGGAGCCATGGGGATGTTTGGAGGGGTCTGGGGGGGTCTGGGGTGGGGGTGACGGCCGGGTGACGAGGTGTGACACCGGCCGGGTGACAGTCGACGGAGGAGATGTGGCAGCGCTGCGCCGGGCGCATCACCGAGGCCATCCAGCACGTGGTGGAGTTCGCCAAGCGCCTGCGCGGCTTCATGGACCTCTGCCAGAACGACCAGATCGTCCTCCTCAAAGCGGGTACGGGGCCACCACGTCCCTGTCCCCACCCCTGGGGCCACCCCATGCCCTTGTCCCCATCCCCACAGTCCCTGTGGCCCTCATCTCCCCACCCCTGGTGTCCTCGGGTGATGGGGTGCTCTGGTCCCATCAGGGAGGTGATGGTCCCCATAGGCCACCTTGACCCCACTGGGGTGGTGGCAGTCCCATGGGTCCCACCAGGGAGGTGACAGTCCCCAAGGGCCACCCTGATGCCACCAGGGAGGTGACAGTCCCATGGGTCCCACCAGGGAGGTGTTAGACCCCAAGGGCCACCCCAACCCCACCAGGGAGGTGACAGTCCCCAAGGACCACCCCAACATCACTGGGGAGGTGACAGTCCCATGGGTCCCACTGGGGAGGTGACAGTTGATAGGCCCCACATCCCAAGGGAGGTGACAGACCCACCCCAGGGCTGGGGTCACCAACCCAGCCCCAAGCCATGGCACCGTGGGGCCTCCTTGTCCCCCGGTGCCACCATCCCTGTCCCCCCCCGGGCGGTGGCAGGCGCCATGGAGGTGGTGCTGGTGGGCATGTGCCGGGCCTTCAACTCCGACAACCGGACCGTCTTCTTCGAGGGCAAGTACGCGGGCGCCGAGCTCTTCCGATCCCTGGGTAGGGATGGGGACACGATGAGGGGGGACATCGAGGTGGGAGCGGGGGGGGACACGGAGGGGGACACGGAGGTGACCAGGGCTCCCCCCAGGCTGCCAGGAGCTCATCGGCTCCATCTTCGACTTCGCCCAGAGCCTCTGTGCCCTGCACTTCTCGGAGAGCGAGGTGGCCCTCTTCAGCGCCCTGGTCCTCATCAACGCCAGTGAGGGACCTGTCCCCTCTCCCCTGTCCCCTGTCCCCACCCCCCGGGCCTCAGTTCCCCCCCCAGCCCCATAGGAACCCCCAAACCCCCATGGTTTTGTCCCAAAGCGGGTGCTGGGGTTGGGTGGCCTGAGCTGGTCCCTGTTCCCCCCCTGACCCCATCACCATGGTGTCCCCATCCTGTCCCTCTCCTGTCCCGCTCCGTCCCAGCTGGTCCCTGTCCCCAGCCCCCTCCCTGTCCCATCTGGTCCCCATCTTGTCCCCATCCTGGTCCCATCCTGCCCCTGTCCCACCTCTCCCCATCCCCGTCCCTGTCACCATCTCCATCCTCATCCTGTCCTTGTCACCATCCTCGTCCATTCCCGCCCTTGTCCCCATCCCGTCCTAATCCCATTCCACCCCATCCCTGTCCCTGTCCCCATCCCATCCTTGTCCCCATCATGTCCCCATCCCAATCCCATCCCA